CCTGATAACTGATAATATTGAGCATCTTTTCATGTGTTTATTGGCTATTTATATACCTTCTTTGGACAAATATCTGTTTGGATCCTTTGTCCAGTTTTTCATTGAGGTATGTTTTTATTATTGAGTTGTAAAAGTTTTTTTTTAATGTATATTCTGCTTGCAAGTCTCTTATCAGATATATGATTTGCAGAGATTTTCTCTCATTCAGCAGGTTGTCTTTTTATGTTCTTGAATGTTGTCCTTTGAAGCACAAAAGTTTTCAATATTTGAAAAAATTATAGCTCCTATTGGTTCATGTTTGAACTATTGCATACGTGTTTTAATTTAACTTCCAGTGTTCTTTCCCTGCCGTTGTGCGTATAACCATCAGAATAACTGTCCTGTTCCCCATTTTCATCATGTTACACCCTTCTGAAGTCCAGCTTTATAGGCGCAAGTCTGCCTTTGTTTCTGCAGTCTGCCACCAGCCTACCTTCCTGTTCTAACCTATCCTCCCTTCCGCCTCAGTACGAAACTCCACTCAGTCTGAATTCAGTTTCTCTGAATGCCTGTTGCTTTTCCACCTCTTCTAATGTCTGACTCATGTGATGCCCTGTGGCAAGAATATGCTTTCTTCCCATCTAATCATCCTTCCAAATTATTCCATCCTTCATTGCCCTGCTCAAGAGCCATTATGCTTTCTTGTTTACAGTAGCTGGAAGTGATCCCTTCTTTCTTTATGTGTCTCTGTAACAGCTGGCACATATCACACATTGCTTTATAGTTATTTGTATTGGTATTTCTCCAGTTAGATTTTAAGCAATGTAGAGGTAGTGACATTGTCTTGTGTAATTTTATATCCCACAGAGGGCCTACAGGCAGACATGTAATGGGGAAAAGAACATTGGACCCCAATGTCAAAACACCATGTCTTACCATTAACTCTGCCATTAACTGGTCTTATGACTTTGGATAAGTCACTTAATCTCTTTATACCGTGGTATCTTGTAAAATAATGGTATTGACAAGTTGATATCTTGTTGCCTCAGTAGTTAGGGCAGTACGGTTTCCTCTATAGCATAGTTCTTTGCAAATAGTAGATGCTCAATAAATAGTTAATGAGTAAATTAACGTTGGACCTCGTTCTTTACTGTTGTTTGTGTTCTGTTGCCTGTCAGATCACTTTTGTCCTACAGGAAAGCACAGTGTCTGGCATATGATAGGTACTTGATAAATGCTTCTTCCCTGACTCCTCTTTTGTTCTTGGTTTTTGCAGTCAGATCCATTGCCCAGTTCTCCTTATGTAGTGTATGGCTATGTACAGACTGTTTCTCACTAGCTTCCCACCACTTTCTTTGCAAACTAATAAACACATTGCATGTAGTCTCTTTAAAACTCAACGGCTTTTCAGTTAATTTTTGCATCCAACAAAATCCTGGTCCATTGTACTCTTAAAATATTTTATAGAAGGTAGGACCCAGTAGTTCTCTGAGTGTATAATAATAGCATAGCATATATAGTCAAATTCATATCTTAATGTAATATGTTCATTGAATAGCATGAAATTTAGGTCTTTTTTTCTGAAAATGGTTGTTGATTTTTTTTTTCAAGGGTGGTTAAGAAAGT